GAGCTATTTTCTGGATTTGAAGTGATCGTTCATATGATGAAAGTGCTTTTGAGTACTCGCCCATTTTATGATACACCACAGCGATGTTGTTGTAGGAAGTAGCCAAGTCGGGATGATTCGGAGGGAGAGCTATTTTCTGGATTTCAAGTGATCGTTCATACGATGAAAGTGCTTTTGAGAACTCGCCCATGTCATTATACACATTACCGATCTTTCCGTAGAAACGAGCCAAGCCTGGATGATTCGGAGGGAGAGCTATTTTCTGGATTTGAAGTGATCGTTCATACGATGAAAGTGCTTTCGAGTATTCGCCCATGTCATTATATACATTGCCGATGTTTCCGTAGGAACGAGCGAAGCCTGGATGATTCGGAGGGAGAGCTATTTTCTGGATTTGAAGCGATCGTTCATACGATGAAAGTGCTTTTGAGTACTCGCCCAATTTATCATACACCACAGCGATGTTGTTGTAGGAAGTAGCCAAGTCGGGATGAGTCGGAGGGAGAGCTATTTTACGGATTTCAAGTGATCGTTCGTACGATGAAAGTGCTTTTGAGTACTCGCCCATGTTATTATACACTATACCGATGTTATTGTAGGAAGAAGCCAAGTCGGGATGATTGGAAGGGAGAGCTATTTTCTGGATTTCAAGTGATCGTTCATACGATGAAAGTGCTTTTGAGTACTTGCCCATGTTTTTATACACTATACCGATGTTGTTGTAGGAAGAAGCCAAGTCGGGATGATTCGGAGGGAGAGCTGTTTTCTGGATTTCAAGTGATCGTTCATACGATGAAAGTGCTTTCGAGTACTCGCCCATGTTATAATACACGGAACCGATGTTGAGGGAGAAAGCAGCCAAGTCGGGATGATTTGGAGGGCGAATTTTTTCGTCGATATGAAGTGCTTTTTCGTAAAATGGGAGTGCTTTTGAATATTCACCTAGGTCGTTATATATCCATCCCAGTTGATAATTGTATTCCGCTCGGTCTTCATCAGAAGACGCGTTTTCTAGAAGTATTCTATATAGTCGTTCTGCTTTTGCAGGCTCACCCAATTTAATAAGTATGTACCCAAGTCGAGACCATCCTGTGCGCACACCAAGGTCCTTGCGTATGTGTGCTGTAAGTGTGTTTAATTCATGATTGTCATTACCCACAATAGTTAGATTAACTTCGTATAGCCGATCGCAGTGATTGTTGTGAATTCGTTCAATGCGATCGATACGAAAAATCGCATGTGTTGAAAATAGTATTTCTTCCTCTTTATCTGTGTAGTAACCAACTTTGCTTACTTCAGCAAAAGGTGTTGATGATTTTGTGCAAATAGCCGTGTCAATGTTCATAATGAACAGTATGCCAACTGAATTTGTATTAAATGCTGCTGGTCGTGCGAAGGTTTCCATGGAAATCTTGCGATTGCGGCTTGTCGACAGAAAATTATTAAAGGACATAAGTCCTCCTTTGGTTTTTTTCATTTTTTCAAAATCTTCCATGGACAAACCTTGTCCACGGAAGGCTTGAAAATTTGTTGGCATGTTTCCTTGCTGTTCAGAATGTAATTTTGTAATATGCTGATGTAGATGTCGGATGAAAAAGCCCATTTTCAGGATAATATCGACATCCATTTCTCGGAGTCCACGATTGAGCATTGAGTGCATGAAATAAGGAGCCGTATACCACCAAATTGGTGTCTGGTTTCGGTATTCTCGCTGCACTTTTTTTATTTCATCTTCATCAACATCATCTTGTAGACGACAATATTCTATGAGATCTTTAATCGATTTGACATCGTCATCTTCAATTTCCAAAAGCGCTTCCTTTAACAATTGTGTATACATAAATAATGCATCACGACCATTAAAGCTGATCGGGATCATAGCTTGATCACATCGTTGTCGATCGACTTCAAGTGCTTGACAAATTGGTTCTATTTTTGTGTACACACCCTTAACCTTGCTTATTTTTTTAGCCCATTGTTCATGAACCGATTGGTTGCCACAAAACACATAAATTGCTTCCAGTTGTGGCCATGCTTCGATTTCTGGTACTATTTGACGACCCAAGGAACCTGATACGATCATAAATACCTTTTCTTTTTTGATTTCACTTAGGAAATTAACGCATTGTTGAGCATCCGTAAACGTTGTGATGGATGCCACAATTTTTCGAAGATGTTGCAGCGAACTTTTAAAATCACTGTCTGATTCATCAAAATTGGCATCGAGCCAGACGAGAAGAAAGTTTTGAATAATTCGACAAGCACTGTGAGGCAGCACACCAGTACTGTGGGTGATGATCGTTGCTGGTTCATTGGTAACAGTTGCTGTTGATGTATAATTACCCATGATTGGTAAATGAAAAGATGCAGTACGTTAGACTTAGTCTCCTATATATATTGCTATTTCTTCCTTTTGTTGGAAATTTTTTACAATCAATTGCTATACAGGTGTGTTTATGTTTCGTTTGTTATATTAGAGATTTGTTATCCTTTCTTTGATTCATGGATGCTAACGAAGTTTCTACATGTCGAGCAAGCAAGAGATAACGAAAACGATAGTGAAATGCATCGTCATCTAAATAATAGGAATATGCAATA